AGAGCGGAGGTTTGCAGGGTGAGCACCAGAGCAGTGGGGCGATGGGACAGTTACTGTACCTGCCCCCAGAGTGCCGCGCTGGGTACGTGGTCAGCACACAGGTCCCCCCTCAGGTGCTGTGTACGGGGCTGCACTGTGCAGGACGCTGGCAGGGAAGGGCCCACTGGGGAAGTCGAGTCGAGGAAAGGGACTTGGAACCCAGGCACAGTGCCTCAGTTTTCTGAGCACTCATTTCTTTGAGAACTGCAGAGAGCATGGTGGATGGGGATGGGGCCACTAGGAAAGCAATGTCTCTAAAGACTGGACAGCTCCAGGCCCGGGATCACTGTGCTGCCCGTGTCCAGGGCAGGTGCACGGTGGCTGGGGCTTGGGAGCTTTGGGGTCAAGCTAGTGCTATACCAGCTGGTGGATCCCAGCCTTGACCTCCTGCATCCCATAGTCTCATTGAATGGTTGCAAGCAGCCCCCAAAAGGCCTTCAGCTTTCCGTGGGTCCATGAAGCGAAGAGCTGAATACATGTAATTCTGTTAGTAGTGGTCCTGTATGTGGCACAGCTCGAGGTACTGGCTGTGTCTTGCAGGGCCAGGTTCCAGGCCTCTAGGCCTTGGGGACGCAGGGGTAGGGGTGATGGCATCCTCTGGTGATGGCTGGTGGCGAGTTGGGTGAGGGTTAGCGGAGGGCTTCGTGGAGGAGGTGGCTCCCCGGGGAGGGCACAGGGGCATGAGGGGTGAGGCTGGAGCAGGGGGAACGTTAGAAGAGCATTGAGGCAGAGTGCAGGTGATTTGCAGAGCCACCAGCGGTCCTCGAGGGACAGAGAAGCCATGTGAGGTGAGCAGAGAGTGGGGAGCTGGGCAGTGCCTCTGCAGGCTGGGAGCTGGGCTGATCTGATGGTTGATTTCCGGCAAAGGGAGCAGAAAGAAAATCTTACAGTTTATGAAGGGTTGGATTCCAAAGTTTTGATAAGAGTACAGGAGGAAAAGATGTAATAAGCAAATTTAATGCATAAACAGGTATCAGGAAAGTGGAAGACTATGTCGGAGGATGCCCTTGACTTTAGGAGATGCATGCTGAAGTTATAAGAATTGAGATGTCTGTGCATAAAAATGAGGGAGTGGGTGGGTATGTTCAGGAGCCCCAGCAGGCATGCGAGTGTTCGTGGACTGAGTTAAAGATTCCGAAGTCTCGGTGAGGTGTGCAGAAGCCAGCATGACACCCTTTCAACTGCTCTGTACTCTTGAGTCCAAGCAAAATCGCCAGTGTGAATGTGGGCAGCGAAAGATAGACTTGTGAGGTATTCTGACTGTGCCTGGCCGGAGCACTTTTTATCTCCTGATACATTTTAGGCAGACGCTGCACTGTCAGGTTGCACTGAAAAACTTTACATTTCCGAAAGCCCCACTGCACCATGGCTTCTGTTTCTGAGCACCTCCTGACACTCCTTGGAGCCTTGGGCTTGCGTAACACCGGTGTGGGGTGACTGACTTCAGGGGTATAATTTTAGGACTTTCTAAAATAGGACGAACACCTCATGCTGTGGTTTTATGCCTCCGTGGGTGGCTCAAGCGTAAAGATCTTCATCCTGGTGGAAGGTATTTTGGTGGTTAACTAGAACTTTGTGAGAAGGCACGTAAGGAATTATTAAATTTTATTTTTAGATACATTCTTGCATGCATTTGTATTCTGTCCATCACATAGGACTGAATTCAGGAAAACTTCACGTGGGATTTCTTGGCAAATGCCAGTAAATGGCTGTACAGATCATTATTTTAAATAAGTGGACTCTAATGCGTAGTTAACCGATACTTTATCCTATGAGCTTGTGACAAATTATATCTTAATGAGATATTTCAAAGCTTAAGTGATTGAGAGAGAAGTAAACATGGCTATTTAATTAATTGTCTGCCGGACAATCATAGTACTGTACCTGGCGGACGGACAGTGAAACAACTGATTATGCAGAGTACTGTACGTGTCCGGATCCGGGATGGGGGCAGTGCAGTAATACAGTGGCACTTCTAGGAAATACATGACTGCAAGTGACTGGTCCTTATATGTCGATTTTAAATTCCCCAACACAGGCTTATTTCTGAAGTGCATTCTTTACCTGGCTCCTTCTGAGGAACTTCAAACCAATACATTCTATATTTTGTAACTCATAGCACATATAGAAAATATTGAAATCCCTGCCATAAGACATAGGCTGGATTTGATCCAGTGCTTTTTAAAGCAAATGTATGTAAGTGGGACTTCTGGAAATAACCCTGGGAGGGTGTGGCATCCTCACGTGCCCATTCTTATCACGGTGCTTGCTCTTCCCATCTCTGTCCAGTTGAAGACACGTCCTGTCCAGCACACATCCTGTACAAATGGAGACACCACCCTGACTGTGCCCCTCCCTTCCCGCCCATGGTCCTGGCTTGCAGTCAAGTGGCAGGCGGCAATTTGCCAGTAGGTCAGCAACTGAGCCGATGACAAGCGACCTTTCTGGCACTGCAATCGATGCTCGTTATTTGGAAAACAAAATGATACAGTGTGCGGTTTTCGGCGGGGAGGCCATTGGGTCTTTCTGTCGTTGACATCTGAATTTGTTACTTGGGCTGGGTGAGTGGCTTCAGACAGGAATATTAATTTATTTGAATTGACCTGGGTCTTGCTCTTAGTAAAAGGTGTGAGGCATTTGTGGAGGGCCCAAATTATGAGAAATAATTGGTTTTAGGCTCTGGTCAAACCAAGGCTCTCTGAGTGCCCATTTGACACGATGGCAGTGGGTTCCAGCTTGGCAAACATGCACTGAAATATAGTTTCCTTACACTGGCTATTTCTCAACATTTTTTTTGTGGGGGAGAAGTCCAAGTTAAAGCAGCTGTTTGTGCATGTCAAATTGAATCATGTCTTTCTGCACATCTGCACAAATGCGTGCTGTGAGGCCCTGAAGTAGAATCGGTACCGCTTCTGGAAGAGGCTGGGAAGAGGCGAGCTGTCGCCAGACGCAGCTCTTGTGACAGTGAGTGCTGCTAGGACGGACTCCAGTCTGCACCGTCACACACAAGGGGAGATCGTGCATCTGGGTGGCCTGTGATTTCCCCATGGAAACACCCGTGTGGTTGGTGAAGGGCACAGAGACAGCACGCTTGACTTTCTGGGGACAGCTTCTGTAGCCGTGAGACCCCCTCATATGTCTGTGCTTTCTCCCTGCCTTGGTGACTTGGGAGCACTGTGATGCTTTTAGCCTGATGTCTTGGTTACTTTTCTCTTGTTGCGGAGATACAATACTCAGTGCCGAGAATTAAGGAAGGAGAAGTTTATTTAGCTCACAGTGTGTGGAGGTGCCAGTCCATACTCAGCTGGCTCCAAGGCAGAGTGGTACATGGCAGAGGGCAACAGTTCATGGCGGTGGAACACAGCAAAAGCGGCAAGAGCAAAGGGAGAGGAACAAGCCTCTTTCCTTCCCTTCTGTTGTATGCAGGCTGCCTGCCCCAGGGCGGGTATAGCCCTCACACCTGTAATCCCAGCATTGGACCATGAATCAATCACAGACTCTAGAAGCCCCGCCTATGACTGCCTGAGGCTTTTGGGGGATGTCGAGACACAAACCATAACACCTGGGTACTGGCTGTAGCTGGGCATCCCCTCTAGGACTCATGGGCGACTCTACCTCCAGCTTCCCGCACTGATGGTGGTTGCCTTGGGTGTTTCAGGGAGGTTTTAGGGATGTATGAAGTCACAGGGTGGGAGGGGAACCATGATGGGATGAGTGACCTGGAAAGAGAATGCGGAGAGAGCCCAGGCACCCTGGTTGTCGCCAGGTGGTGCCTTCTGCCAAGTTCTGAGGCAGCACATAGGTGATTGCTGCCTCCAGGCCCTTGGCCTTCCCAGCTCCTGCGCTATAGGAAGTAAACGTCTCTATAAACTTCCTACTGTGTGCTATTCTGCTGTAGTGACAGGACATGGGCCAAGAGGTTTCCTGCGTGAAGCCGGTGTGGAGATGATGACTTCCTGTGCTGCCCACACTCACCCTCAGGCCGAGTGAGGAGTAACCTTCCTTGTGTTCGGTCACTGACTGTGCGTGCTTTGGTGTCAGGACCCTTTGATACAGCTCGAAGCAAAGGTCCTGGATTCAATCCCCGAACTTCCAAGAAATGAGAAAAAGTTTTAACTATTCAAAGAACCTTTGTTCATGTGGGTAATAGCAATTGATACTTTCAGGATTAGTAATTAAAATTGAGATGTGTTGAAAACCCAAGAGTTCACAAGCATCCTTTCCACCAGCAGTTGAGAATGAAATGAGAATAGTAAAGCGAAGTAATTTATTATTATTATTAAAATATTTATCAATTTTCATCTTATGTCCTCCCTAAAAGGATCCAGATTTCAGGGGACCCTGGAAGACACTTTGAGAATTGATAAATTTAGGTCCTTATAAGTGATGTGCCTGCCTTGGTGATTATTGATAAAGGCTTAGAGGAACCAGGAAGGAAACTATAGAAGGGAAATCCCTTTATGATGTTATAATTCATATTTTTCTGTTTGAATAAATACAGCACTGTTCATTCCTGTTACTGAGAGGTAGTCCCTCTTTATACTAAAAAGCGCCCATTTCACAACAGCAGCAAACGAAATAATATACACAAAATTGCATAATGCCACTTAACTGTATGTGAGTATTATTAATTCTGTGAAGATTGAGTTTGTGAAATCTTACGCTCTAGAAAAATTGGAAGTAGGATTAATATTCATATACTTGAAATTGAGTTTAGGATTTCTGAGGGGTAGAGAGTGGGATAAAGTGAATTATTTAAACTTTTATTTGAGTGAGCCCATCTAAATTCATTCACTGGAGCTGCTTCTGAGATTTGGAGCTGTGGAACTGTCATATGTATTGGCATGATGGAATCATTTCAGTTCCTTTTATTATGAAATGTAGAATGACAGAATGATATAACACTGACTAAACACCTTTCAGGGAGACTTGGAAATGGCGCTTGATGGAAATTACCTACGAATCGATAACATACCCCATAAGTGAATTTACAGCCACACGTCTCCCATCAATAGACTGATTATGTAAGGTAACACATTCATTTCCAAAGAGGAAGAAGGTATGAGTGCTAACAGGGTTGCTAATATTTAAAAAGCCTGATAGATAAACATTGTCTGAATTTTATGTTAATGTAGATACAGAAACTTTCCCAGGGGAATCTGGTGATCTTTATAGATTTGTCCAGCTTTTATAGTTAATTTTTAAGCTTGAGGAAGAAGAAAGAAGTGGAGTACCTTTCCAGTGTTTTAATTGCTTTTTAAAAAATAAATGCTCATGCAGTACCTACCCTGGCCAGGTACTGTTTTAGCATCCTATGAGATAAAGAATTCTTGAGGGTCTTACAAGACCTCTCAGGTCAGCATAAGAGGCCACTATTTGATTGGACAGAAGATCAAGTGTTAAAATAGAACCGTGCACCGATGGGAAGAAAAAGTGAAAGTCACGGTGTGGCCTGGACTCGCTGAGATGAATTTCACGTACTCACTGTCTGCCCATGACAGTGGCCTGTGAGGCCTGGGGCTGGCTTCAGTGAGAGCTTGCGATCTGGAGGCCCAAGCAGTGAAGAACGTGTGAACTAGGGCGACCTCAGGAGCTCCGGAGGTGAAATCAAGAAAGCCAGAGTTGCCACCTGCCATTGACGGGCGCCGATTCCAGTGATCACAGAACGCTGAAGGTTCGTCATCGTCCCTCTCAGGTGTAGTGGAGGCGTCGCCGTCTGGAGAGGCTGGGTACCTTCAGGAAATGTCTCTGTTTGGTTCATACGTTGCTGACCTGACTCAGAGGGCGAAGCAGGCTGTGTCTCTGCAGCCTTTCTGCAGTGGAGGTCAGAGCACTGGGTTCTGTGAGCAGTCACACCTTCTTCCTCCTGGGTTTGGGGGCGCTGACTTTCCTTACTTTTCTCTAATAGATTTAGGGTGAGTCAGGAGCCCAGTCCTGTATTCTAGCGTGGGTGGTCCCTGTACTGCCCAGCAAATGGAGACATGCAGTTCCGGCTCTGTTGCTGCCTGCCCCCGGCGTCCTGCCTGGCGCCAGCTAAGGCTCAGGCAAGGTGTTAAGAATGGGCAAAGGACTGCGTCCTCCTGCGCTTCTTCCCCTCTCTACCTTCGGCGGGTTAAGACTCTTATTTATTCTTGTATTGCGTACGTCCTTGTCCTTAGTGACCTTCTCCAGTAGATAGGAACAACGTTGTCTTTAATGACCTGTCCACAGCGGAGAGCCCTCTGAGGTCCTGGGCACCAGATGGAAGTCTCACGGGAGCCTTCACAGGCCGCATCCTGTCCAGGCTTTGCTCACAACAAATCCCAGAGGTCCGACCTGTTCTCAGGCAGCAGGGTAGATGGTGGTGAGGTTTCTGGGCTCAGCCTAGGGAGCGGAGAGAGGCTGTCCTCACTTGCCCCATTGTGGACCCACCTGCACAGAAAAAAGGGTTTTAAAGCATTTCGTTTCAAGGAGGTCTTTTGATTCACGTGAATTCTTTTGTTCCTCCTGATTCCCTCATATTTAATTCAGGTAGGTTAAAGAGTTCTCTAAGATCCCGCCTCTGACAACCCAGTAAAACATTTCAGTAATAATAGTAGTTACGAAGCCCTTTAGAGCCATGCCGTTTGTTGAACTTATTGCCATTTTTTGTTGTTTATACCAATCACCTGGGAAGAATTACTGGTTTTCAGATTGTTAAACCTAGTACTTGCTATGCTGATGAGCGTTCCTCCAGAAAGTTTTAAAAGGACAGAAAGCTACCATTCTGAAGTAATTTACCGGAGTAGCAGTAAACTCTTTCAAATTGGACATGAATGTTGGTTAAAAAATAACTAAACACACACACACAAAACTCACTAAGCAAATAAAACATGATTTTTTTTGTGGGATTACACTTTAAGGGCACTTGCAGTTTGTTATGTTTATTATAAGACTTTCTATATAATTTGAAGACTCAATTTACAGATGTGTTGTGTTCCAAGCTAAATTGTGAATTGCGTTCATGCCAGACAATTTCATTTAGCTTCTAAGTCTTAATAAAAGCAAATGAAATGTTCATTCCATAAATGTTTCCAGAAGGTCTAGGAACATTAGCTTAGTAGTAGAGCACTTGCCTAGCACACTTAAGGTCCACCTCCCAAATTCATATAATAATATTTTGAGAATTAACTTTATGATGCTTTGATATGAATAAAAATCAGAGAAGATTAATCCATAACTACTAGAGCTTTGACAACTAGATCCTTCCCTGAGCTATATATTATTAAACCAGACCCTAAGATTTCTATAAAGATTTCACTTACCTTAACTCTAATAATTTCCCAGATACAGTAAAGATATATGAGCATGTATTGCTACTTAATTCAGTAAAGCAAATATCATTGAATAAATGTCAGCTTTTCCAGAGAAATCACTGCATATGACCTCTCAGGATAATATATTTATCAAAAAATCAATACTGAAAGTAAACAGATTTTTAATGTCTCCGAAGGATCTTCCTAATAAACTAAAATGCCAACCCGTAATTTAAGGCTACTGATACCAGTAGGTATTTATAGATGACATCATCATAATTTTATAGGTTATTCTTTATCATGAGTGTGCTACATCTAACTCAGTTTTCACCTTGGGCTGGGAAAAGTGATTCTTTGTGGAGGCAAATAAAGAGTATTTTGGCTCCTCTTTGCAGAAATTCCATCTTAGAGGGTAGAGGCCCCTGACTCTGCTGGCTCCACTCCTTCTCTTCCCTTCCCTTCTTCTCCCTCCCCTACCCTCCCTCCTCTCCCACCCCCTTCCCTTCCCTTCCTTTCCCTGCTGTGTGGCTTATTCCCTGCTGTGTGGTCTTCCTGCCCTCTCCTCTTCCTTCTGCAAACATCTGTGCTAAGCTCCCTGGGACTCAGCTCTCTCTTTCTGTAGCCTGTAATTCTCAAACTTTTTTTATCCACTGATTAGATGATCAGTAAAGAATTTTTAAAAGTCAATCACAAATTTTAAAAAACTTTTTGAAAAGTGATATTTTTAAATTGGTAAAAATAAAATGGTTTCGTACAAGTAAGGGAATTTTTTGTTGTAGTGGGGATCAAATATAGGGTCTCATGCTTGCTAGGGGAGCACTCTCCCACCCAGTTACATTTCCAGCCCTTTTAAAATATTTTTATTTTGAGAGAGGCTCTCATTAAGTTGCCCAGGCTAGCCTTGAACTTGAGCTCTTCCTGCCACAGCCTCCCAAGTAACTGGAATTACAGGCTTCTGGCTCCACCTAATTATGTGTAAAAAATTTTACTATCAAGATATCTATGTAATTGGCCCTTAAAACATCTTCCCACACACTGTACAAAGACAAAAATCAAGAAATGTCCCATATTTGAGAAATGGAAATTTAGATATTTCAGCATGGAGAAAATGGAGGCTCAGACCACAATTTAGTTGCATTGGCTTTTTAATTAGGGTCTGTAATATGTCTAACAGTAAGATAGCTCTTAGCACATTGGTACAAACTCCCTGACTTTAGTACCTCCTGTTATATGACTACAACCACATTCAAGTTCCTTCTGTAAGCCTCAGTGTCTTCATCATAAAGTGGAGAGAACATGATGGCTTATGTCATAATGTTATTATAAGAGTGAAACGAGAAAATGTGTACAGAGTTGAGAACAGTGTCTGATGCACAGTCCAATTAGTCATTTTATTATATGGACCATCTTTTAAATGTAGATCAAAATCAGGAGCATTTTACTTATGTTTTCTCTCCTGAGTTTTCTGTTACTTTCCTTCTAAATGACTTTAAGGTCCAGGATCCATATCTGAGTTAATTATTGCATATGGTGTGAGGTAGGGAGCTAAATTCATTTATTTGTTTTACAAGTGGATATCCAGTGATAACAGCCTCATTTATTGAAAATGCCATCTGTTGAGGATGAAACTGTGTTCTGCCAACCTTGATAATCAATATGTTGAAGTCCCAACCTCCAAAATGTAACCATATTTGGAGATAGGACCTTGAAAGAGGTGGTTAAATTAAATTGAAGCCTTTGGGCTTGGGCTTAATACAGTGTGGCCAGGGTCCTTATAAGAAGAGGAAGAGTCCTTGGGGATGCATGCACACAGGGAAAGGCTGTGTGTGGACCCAGTGAAAAGGGGCCTGCTGAGAAACCGACCCTGCTGGCGCCTGACCTCCAACTTCCAGTATTCAGCACTGTGAGGAAACATATTTCTTCCTCCATGCACAGGGTGTCCATAATGTAGTTATTTGCCTAAAATGTGGTCATTCTCCCCCATTCCTACTGTTTTATTTAAGAGTGAATGGGGTTTTAAGCTTATGATGCTGAATTCCACTGGGTGTTAACGGGGTGAGTGTGTGAGGTTAGAGGACCATAAATCCTGAGCCTCACACTTAACTTTGGATGGTATCCCCAGAGGGATAACCTTTAGGCACAGAGACATTTGCACATGATTGACGATAAAATGTGTGCGTTACTTATCCAAGGCTGTGCTTCACTGCTAGATCACACTGCTTCCAGGGTACCATGAATTAATATTTTTAATTTATTACATTGTGAATAGCATGACTACATTGCATTGCCGTTTTTCACTGCTTCACGTGCTGATATGCTAGACATTGAAAATAACACTATTGAAAAATCATATCTTGGCATCTCTTCATTTTTTTAATATGTCAGGGACTTCAAAATAGCATTGGCATGGGATTCTCTGACCCTGAGTTGCCCCTGCCAACTGTTCCCTGGGAATAAATCAGGGTGTGGAGCAGCAGCCAGGTGCACCACTGATCTCCCTGGATGGAATTCTGACCCGAGCTCCAGTAGCGCTGACACCAGAGAGTTTGTCCCAGGCTATATCATGCCTACAAAGCCACCCTTGAATGCTTTGGAAAAATGCTCTTCTGTCAAAAGACCTAAGTTGTAGAGCAGTCTCCCTGTGACCTTCAGGTCAACTAATAGCTCTTCGCTGACCACACTCAGTTTTTTATCTATGGGCTGGTATTGTGGGTAGTAATTGTTGTCCATCCAATGCCTTTGACTTTCCCTGGCTATTGTATTTTGGTGTTAGATTGGTGGCCTGCAGTGTCATTTGATGTGGGAATCCTGCCAGCAGACTCCTCTGCTTTCCCCCTGAGCATTATAATGTGGTTCATCAACCTTGCAGCTGGTTTTAAGAGCTTCTCAAAATGTGATTTGTAATTTTTTTCCCCTGTCGAGAATAATTTTGTATGGTGCCTCTGTAATTCAAGGTTCTTCTCTTTCTTTCCTGACAGCATTTGTTAGGTGGCTAGAAGAAATTAACATTCTTGTCATGGAGAAATCTTGCGGGATTTCTCAGAGATGCCCTGGGCAGACTTTTTATGATGTCAGCATTTATGAAAATTGGATAATGACCCACTTCCTGAGGACTTGAGGCAGATGCTTCAAGAGTCCAGTCTCAGTGCTCTTTGGGTCTTCATCATCTTTCTGCCTTCCTCTGTTTTTTTGCCGGACTTATGATCACACCATCCCTCTATACTTTCTTGCACTGTCACCTTCTAACTTGCATTGTATACTTTCTGTCCACCAACATACTGTTATTTTGAACTATGAAGTTCTTCCCTGTTTCTGTTACTGCTTTTCATTTTAATCTGCCATTTTGGAAGCATGGATTCATGTTGGTGAATTTTGATCAAAATGCTGTACAACAGCAAGATCATAGACTTAACAGATGTGATTCATAACAAGCGGATAATGGAAAGGCGCTTGAACCCCTGGAAACTGGGGGCTTGGTGACTTGCACAGAAGAGCTGGGTCAGGGCTTGTGTGCAGTGGGTGCCCTTGTGCTCACTCAGGTTGTGAGCAGTGCTGCACACCACGTGACAGTCCCTCAACTTTGAGTTTTAAGGAAAGTGAATATACATGTGCCTAACTTAAGATTAATAAAAAAGGAATAAGTGACTGTGCACATTTGGCTTCTGTGGGCAGGAAGGCATGGGCACACTTGTTACCCTGCCTTTACTTCAGCCACCTCAGTCAGAAGGAGAGTAAGTGTTTTCCCCAGTGGGTACCAGCAGGGGACAACATTGTCACCCACCCAGAGGGTCCCTGATACTCTGCATTGTTCCCAGGAGAGAGGGTAGGGTAGGCTGAAGGCCTTGCCCCTTCCAAGTCTGAATGGGTATGGTTATTTCATTTCAGTGGATTCCAACAACTCTGGATATTGTCGTTGGCCTACAGTCAAATCATAGGGTTTGGACACAGACAGATACAGCGTTAGGCCGAAGCTAATGGGTCTTCTGGTGTCCATCACTCAGGATGACCTTTGTTACACGATGTACTGAGCCCTGAGCTCATGCCTCAGGGTGATTTTCTTGTCATTTTTTTTCTGTGTTATGATTTGGATGTAGATGTGTTTGGAAGGTAGCTGGCTCAGGGGAGCTTATCGTTGAC